CAGCTGAGTCGAAGCACACGTACTCGAATACAAGGCAGAATTTCACATGTTGAAAAAAAACAAAACTGTAAACAAAAAGCTACTCTCTGATTGGTCAGATTGTTAGATATTAGGGTAGCCAATCAGGTACAGTATTGTAAGTTTCTTCGCATTGACTCAAAAGCTCTCACGGAAACATGTTTAAAACCACAAGTCGCTTGTACCATAAATATAAATACGACTTGTATCAAAATTCGGAATATCGTCTGCCCCTTGTGTTATATTACCGGCAAATGTGGAAAAAAATAATAATGTGCGCAGACGAAAATATAATAATATAAATATGCTGTATTAGGCAACGATACCCCGAGAGATTAATAAAATAGCTTTGGTCGCCTCTCCGTGGCACTAATCCCAAACTCAAGCTTATTCCTTGTAATTGACTTTGTGATCTGTCATACACGGGTTTGGTACTTCGGAGAAAATGGATACTAGTACCCACCAAGATGAAGTGGGCATATGTTGTCCAGTATTACAGTCTGTGAAACCACAGCTATAACGGGGACATTTTATAGAAATTTGTATACTGATATTTTCCTTCGTCCCTCAAAATTCAAGGTTACGATTCAGAATAGGAGTGGCAATTTTTATATTTTATATTAATTTTACTGATATTTTTTGAAGGTTATTACTAACAATAAAATATAGTTGTGATTTTACTTGACATCCACTATGTATTATTCAAAAAAAAAGTTTCACCCAGATTCAGTATTATAAGTTACTTGGCGCACGGTGACAACGATGAACAAAATGGTGGGCCTGATGACGTACTGGGACAAGAATAAAACGTGACACTGTATCTCTCAAATGGTCATTCCTTGTTGCATAGCACACCGCAACCTCGATATCTTCATAAATCAGCTCAAGTCATTGAATATATACGGATGACATCATAACGGTGAATGATTTCATTTAGTCGCAATGAATAACATCTGTAGAATAATGGCGGAAATATTGTGTATGTTCTAAAAATAGCAATTCGAATAAATGATTGATTTACATCACGAGAACGACAAAACTGTCATAATCGGTGTTTTACGTGTTATTTGAGTACATTTTGTACATTGAGTACTAGTCGCAACCACAATTGTTCTATAATTTTGTACATTTTAATTGTTTATAATAATTTCGTTGATGATTTTCAACCAAATAGTCGCAATTGGCTACAGATTTTGATTCAAATTTTAGGATTATTTTTGTGTGAAATGTGGGATCGAATGATTGAATTACTGAATTTTATTCACAGTCATTGTCAAATTATTATTAAAAATAAAATAAGATGGTAGCAACCGAACACCTGATATATTGATAGCCAATCAGGAAACCTGTATACTCATCATGCCATATTACACTAGTTGAAGTCCGGGTGATGTATGTTTCTTTCTGACGGCGCTTTCGTCATCTGGGTCCTGGATCCAATTAATTTAGAAATGTCTCGATTTCTCACTGGTTTTTGCCGCGTTCAAAATGATTAACTGAAAGCGCCGGAAATTACAAAGTTTAGCGCAATCGCGATCGGAATAAAAACAAAAACAAAACGATTTTCAACAAAAGTGAGGCGCATATGAAACATGAGTCGATATTCTGAGTTCAGTAGTTTTCTGTCATTCGTGTGATGAAAAAACAGACACCTTCGAAAAGTTCCATTTTGGTCAGTGAATGGGTGCATTTTCTTCTTCTCTTTATTTGCGCTGGGTCCATTATACGATTCAATTGACATATGCTGGGTACAAACACTGTATAACGAAGTACGTACTTTAAAAATGATGGATATCACTGAGTCTATCAACGTTGACATTTTGCCGTAGTTGGACATCTTTATAAAGAAAGGGGAGGCAAAAATATATTTATAATGTGTTGACAAGAATGGCATTAAACCAACAAGTGGAAATCAATATATATATATATGCTTGTTTATTTCATTCAATTATTACATCTGAGTCTAAACATATTTGCCAAGTTTCAATATGACGTCATAAATCATTAATATAAATTCTTGTTTCACTATTAATGTACGTACATAATCATTCTTGTTTCTATATTAATGTACGTACATTTCTAATATCGTCATATAAAATAGAAACTCTTATTCACATCCGTTCAGAAAGAACATTATTCGCATTCGGAAGAAAATAAAAAATAAAGTAAATTTAGAATTTAATTAAATTAACAGTATATCCCTGAAATAATAAATACGTGACACATAGCGGCTCCTTGAATTTCAAATCGACCAAGGTGTTGCACGTTACTCAGTATTTACAATTACAAATACTGTAAAAGGATTGATTATTGACTGGGTTTTAATGTTGCTTATTTCGCTGACTGGAAAATGCGCTAAATTAAAACCCAGTAAATATGTAAAATTGAGCATAGAACATATTATCTAAATGATAAAACCGTGAATGTAAAATCCACTGAATATACCTGAAATGGTAAATCAGCGAAATTTAAACCCAGTGAAAATTATCATTTTACAGTACGTACTTACTGTTTTGCTATCATAATCTTACACAACCCATTAATGCCTTTACACCCGGTAAGATTAAAGCATTCCCTTGTTGCTCGGTACTATTGCGATCTGACCAGGCAAGCGCCATGTGGAGCATGATGATGCGATGGTTGTTTTAATGACAATTAGAAACTCTTTTTCTTTATTCAGTTTTGGTAAAGATGTATTTTTAGGATGATGTATTGTCACTGTAAGCCAACATAATTTTCCCTTCAAATTAATATTTTT